ACCACTCAACGCTCATGTGCGGGCAGCACACTTTGATTTGTTTTGCACAGAGCTCCTTTTAACTTTCCTTCGTAAAAAAATTGCATGAAAAGCTAAAGAAATACAAGGGATACGCCAATAACCAAAACACAATACACACGGGGGGTCGTATTGGTTGAAAACTGAAATACTTCGGGACAAAAAAAACCTTTGCAAAATAAACTTCAGACATTTTTCAAAGGAATAAATTTCGAAAGATTTCAGGCCAATAAAACTTCTGCACATCTGATTGCGAGCGGATTTATTTTTTTACAAGGGAACAGCACATTTTAAACAAAATGTTTATTAACTCGTAATATTTTGCTCGTTCATCCCCCACCAACGCAACCCTATTGCCACGGAACAGGAGACAAACATCAATTCCAGAATGTGCATGCGCATAAGACACGCAAGGAGCAGCGGCTCATTGGTTCGTGCAACTGTGCCGAGTTTTGATTCCCGAGTTTGATGGCTACAGGCAGCATCAGAGGTGAGCGGCATTCAAGCCTCTCCTGGGCTGCACGCCAATCACCAACCCGCACTGACCAATCGTGGTGAAGTATGGTCAAAGATCCCCCCCATATAACTGACAAGGCATAGGAGGAATAGGCATTCATCCAGCAGTGGATTGGCAAACGGCTGTACGTGTTAAAGGTCGGGGTGTCTTGGAAGAAAAGAAAAAAACGATAAACCCGCAAAAATCTCACTACCCAGAAAGTAGAAAGATTTTTGTTTGAGAGTCGGCCAATTAACTGGATGAAAGAGTTACTTATTTCGCTCAATGTGCAGCCGCCATCTGCGGGCTGATTATACAAATCATTTTAATACAATCAAAAGCGGACGGTGAAGCGTTCCAATGAAGCTTAGTATGCCGGTGTCTGATTTCTGTGGGTTTTCAAACTTTTTCCATGATACCCTCTCAATTATTCAAACTACTACGAGAGATGCCCATAGGCAGACACACCGTCCATCCACTATTCTATCGCTTGCATTGGCATCTTGACCTAAAACACTGCTCCTGTCTTTGTGGTGATAAAAAAAAAACTCCGATTGGGTACAAGTTTCGCCGGTAACAAAATCACTGGGGCAATGCACCCGATCCAGTCTGGATAGCACTCGCATGGGTGACCACCATGCACGAGGAGGTTGCCACAGGGCTTACAGGGGAGCTACGTGGTAGACGGCAGAGGGTGGGTGCAGCCAACTTCATTGTTGTCCTGTACTTCTATGCTTCCACAAGTCTAACTCCACACCTTCACCTACAACCAGCAATGACCAGAATGTTTTTTTCGTTTAGTTTGTTGTCCCTCTGCTACACTTCTGATTAGCACGGTTGGCTACGTAAGGTACGACAGAATTCAGATTCCAAAGAACACAGGATGAGATGTTACTATCCTTTGTGCAAGCACTTCCAAGAGTTCATGAACAGTGAGCCTGGTGAAATTTGGGGAGCGCATCGTCAGTAGTGACCCTTTGGTTCCTAGGGTGTTTCGGCCTTTCATACTATACACCCTCCCCAAAGGCGGCCAGCGACAGGGTGATCAATCCTACGCTTGCGTCCCATTCCCAATTAGTCATAGGAGTTGCCTTGTTGTTGGTAGCCAACATCCCATGGGACTATGCATGGCAGGGGCGTCCTCCTCCAAGCATGCATACGTGGTGCCGATCTAGTACTGGGGATGCCTAAATGACCCCCCCCCACCACCCAGAGCCGTACGGGCGAGGAGAGGCCCTCATCTACCAGTCGATTGACGAATGGCTGCGCTTCTTCCCCAAGCAACTCAACAAACCAACTAGAATTTGGAACTTCCACTTGTTGCTTTGTCAACGGTTGGAAGTGCGTCTCTGCATTGGCTACGTCCGCCCATATGTCCATCCCTTCATCTGTCCATAGCAAGGGGATGGGGCGGGGGGGGGGGACGATAAATAATTTCAAAGAAAATCCAAAGGACAACCAACTTGTAGGATAAAGCTGTAATGCGATTCAGGACTTACGCTCTAGAAAACTGGCCTATATTAAATCACAGGGTTGCCAAATCGTTTAGAAGACACGGACCACAGCAAAAAAATACGCAACCATTACTAAAATACGCAAACTCGTTTTGCCCCGAGAGCTGAACGTCGGCTTCCAGACTGATAATTAAAACACCTCCACAGATAAACGCACGTTGGAAAGTGTTACACAACCACACATCTTTCCGTAACTTGGGTTCTATTGCAATGTTCTGCACGATCCGCGTCACCGAAACTCCACCACGTTCTACGCAAGTCAGAAGCACTCTCTCCTAGAGCCACCCCACACATCCTTACGTCCTCTTGGTTAAAAAAGAAAAAAGCACTTCTGGCGTTAAGGGCCTCCAGTTGAGGGAGGTCTACAGGGCCGCTCTGCACCAGATTATTTTGCCCTACTCTTCAACGCTGGCCAATACCGTCTTGGAAGAAGAGGTGGGAGTCCCCCACGCTTCGACGCGCCACACGAGGCCTGCCGATGGGCGAATGTCAAGGACCCATTTATAGCCCGTGCTGCCGGCTTGGGCAGAGGCCTGGGCGATTTGAAGAAACATTGCACCGTTGTTTGTGCTGCCGCGCCGGACGACGGGATCGAACCGGGAACCATTACACACCAACCAGCACCTCTGCGTTGGGTTTGCGCCCCAATTAATTTGTTTGCAGCGTCGGCATTACGCAGCGGCAGGCAATGCAACGCAAATGTTAACTAGGCACGTGCCAGTACAGTTAGGGTCATGGTGACCTTTGCGGTTTTATTTAGTTTATTTTTGAAGCGCTGTCCTTCGTGTACCGATCACGACTGTAAAGGGACATGCCAATAACCAACTCCACCGATGCGGGCGTTTTATCTTCCCAGTGTCAAGGCTTGTCGTCTTTGAAAGTACAAAAAAAGCAAGCGATTTGCTTACGAAGTTAGTTAATTAAAAATGTCAAAGCAGACCGCACACTAAACAAACATGTAATTAAATATAAAACATTGGATACATTTCTATTCCATATTGCAGCATCTTCAGACACTTTACGGTAAAATAAACACGTGACAAACCCTACACCACATTATATACAAACAATAACATCAGTCGATAGTAACTGGTGTAAAATTATAAAATGACGTTTTGAAAGAGCTAAAAGACCGACTTGTAAATAGTTGACTCCATGCTTATAACGCTATATTTTTGTTTTATCCAAAAACAATTTATTTTTATTTTGCCATGCCATTCCCTCCCACCACCCAGCCCCACCAAGAAATTTCAAAGGGTACAAAGTTGTATCTATTTAGCACTTGAACGTCTGCCTGTGAAAGCGATCTGCGGATTCTGAAGCGTGTGGAATACAAATATGGCATTGGAGTTTCAATATCGTGACCGAATTATTTTAGTATAAAATGTATATTTGTGCCAGTTAGCAAGATCTATGTTTGTATACAGTATACACACACACACTATAATAAATACGTAAAGATACAAAACGCAAGTTTGAGTTTACACAAGTAACTTTTAACAGCAATCGAAGCTGAACTATTACCGTATTCTCCAGATTATAAAGACGCACAAACTTGTCCTGGGATTTAAACAAATGTACAATACACAAAATCTAGAAATATGGTATACGATGGATATTTTATTACACACCAGAGTATTTAAAATGCTTGACAATACAACGCTAACAAGTTACGAGTCTACGCCGATGCCTTTTAACACCAGACATTGAACTGCTGCCAGCTTTGCACGTGTACACAACCGATCTCGCACAAAAGAAGGGACTCAAAACAAAGATCAACATCTTTGTTTTGAGTCCCTTCCGTTGGAGGGTATTTTAAAATGTACTATTACCGACTTCTGCAATTTAGGTGAAGATCTTAAGGAGAATTGTCCATAATGCAATCGACTCAGTCTCATGTAAAATAAAATGGTATTCATAATGTTGATTCTTTGGCCTTACAGCAAAGCTCTGCACGAAACATCACCAATGTTTATATATATATATATTTCTCATTCAGTCGATTATTTTTATATTGGATGCCGTTAACAAACACAAAACTATTCGTTTGGAAAATTTTAAGTCGAAAGTTTTGTGCGTGCAATTTAGTGTGCATACATTGAATAATAAAAAATGACTTATTCTTTCTGGTATAAATACAAATATTAATATGTTCAAACATCAAATAGACACCAACTTGCAAGGCATCATGTCTATGGTAACCACACGTACTTGTGGTAAAACCAAACAAATATGCTTTTATAACGTATGCGTTGTTCTTGAAGCTCATTGCCCTACATCAGAGACATCCTTCTTTATAGCCTGGTCTCACCATTCGCTTGACCAAAGACCGCCAAAAGTCGAGCGGGCAAGCACATAGACAATGCAAAAACCAAAAACATAAATAAGCTTAGGTTCGGCAGTTAGTGGGCATGCAACTTGGTGCTCGACACCAATGAACCTACCTCGGCACTGTTTATGAGCTCGCCTCCAACAAAGTATTAAATTGTAGGAAGGTAATAAGTTCAATGCCACTTCCAATAATAAAACGCCCAATAACCGCTTTGAAAACCTTCGCATAATCAAAACCCTCCACCATTGTTGGTGGTGTAGGTGGTGGAGGAGGTAATGGCCGTGGCGGTAATGATGGTGGTGCATTAATACCTCGTGATGTTGTACTAGAGATGCTATTTTTGCATAGGGCAGGAGATAAATGCCAATAGCGAAGTCCACTCGGCAGGAGAGGGCTTCAAGACAGAATGTGTAGTAACCGTTAATGTGTTGGTGGTGGTGGAGTAGTGGCGCTTATGATGGTGGTAGTAGTGGTGGTGCATTAGTGCTCGTTATAGTAAGTGGCGATTGTCATGGTGATGCAGTGGTGTTGTTGTTGGTGGTGGCGTTAATCTATTTATGATCGTGGTGTAGTGGTGGTGAAGTTGTGTAGTGGTGGTAAAAAGCGGTCGTTCTGTAGCGATGATGATGATGTCTCTCACCGTTAACCGACGTCTTCGACTGCCCAGGTACGCATCTGCAGGAAGCCATCTCGCTCTGCCGCAATGAGTCAGCCCTACAGGGTGGGCAGATGATAAGGTCGCTGCACGGTCCAGCGGCATTCCCATCGGCTGAAACCGAAAGAGCATGCGGGCCCCGTCAAAACATTTTCCCCGACTTTGGTTTTTGTTTCCGTAATGATGAGTGGTGTAATACTTTACTACTGGGTGGCAACTGTGGTGCTGGATCAGTCTCTCGGGAGACTGTTTGTGGGGCGTTGTCTGACCATACTTTGCCATGCTGCCAAGTGCAGGTTGGTCATCAAATGAGGACCAGCACCGGCGCAAACATCACTTTGCTGCTACGGATGTTCACTGCAGCTGGAAATTAAACTACGTTTGCCAAGTTTGGATTGAAGTATTGCAACACCTTCGTACACACCCAATTGAGTAATGGTGAAAAGTTAGTGTCAAAAGGAAGGTTTTATTGCCTGTGATTATATCGGGCATCTCAGTGACATCAAGTGCCCTTATATCTTTTGATTTAAAGCTTTCGTGACTGCAGGGATTCATATTCTTGGTTCTTTCGGTAAAGTCACGTAGAAGGGAAACAATAAAATAAAAATATGAAACAATAAAATTCTCACGACGTTTCGACTGCAACACAAGCAACCATCATCAGGTGTGAAATCCACAACAAGAAAATTGTGGATTTCACACCTGATGATGATTGCTTGTGTTGCAGTCGAAACGTCGTGATCATTTTATTGTCTAATATTTTTATTACTTTATCATTTCCCTTCTACGTGACTTTACCAAAAGAACCAAGAATATGCCCTTACATCATTATTGCTTTGATGTCATTCCAACTGCTAATACAGTCTATGGCTCAAAAGTAAATTCCATGTCTCCCAATGAACTACTTTAACCATTTCCTTCCTTTCAACTTTTGATAACATTAGTAGTGAAGAAAGCGACGGCAGCAACTTGTGGATTTAGTTTTGTTAAAACATACAGGATGCATTCGTATAAGTGAGATCAAACAACCCCGCACGACCGACATCCAGCAAGTGGCTTGACAAGAGGGCCGCCAATGAACGACGCAATTACAAACGTGCGCACGGATTTTAGACAAATGCAAAATAGCGGTTCAGTGCAGGGCGAGCAAAGACGAACAATAAAAGGAGAGGAACTTCTGACAGCTGGCCTGTGAAAAGAGACTGCAAAAGAAAAAAAAAGTCATGGGGAAAAGACAATGACGGGAGCCGATTCGTCATCAGCATCGTTGCAGGGGAGCAAATCTTCAATCCAAACTCGCCCTGAATTTTCTACAGCCAAATTCACCCCCCACCCCCTCCGGTTAAAAAAAATAAAGAAATTTTCCATCCTCACTTTCTTTTTGACGTCGTTTTGTTGTGGCACCGTGGCGGCCGATTCACATTTCCCGATGCTCGTGTAACTCGGGATTAGTCCCTACAAATGGGGGAGGGTTTCAAAGAAAATCGTTTGCCGAGAGAGGTTTTTTTTTCGAGTCCAACGCAAAAACGATGCAACTTAACCGGCGTTCAAAGCGAGTCCTCAATTGGTTTTATTTTACGTAATAATTTAAAGGATACCGCCAAGATGCAACGAACAACGCAAACTGTAGAGGCTTGGTGGTGGTGGTGACGGTGCCGATGTACGGGTATTATATTCTCATTTGAAATTGTCGCGTTATTTTAACAAAAGACCAAGTCTTCTTGAGCTTAGATTAACGTAATATTAAAAATATATTTTTCATTGCTTAACGCATCTGTTTATACTTCTTCTAGAGAGGCCTGGCAGCTGAACTTTGTTGGATAGCTAACTTTCAAAAGCAAGGCTGCAACATTTCATATTTGTATACTGTAGTCACAATTTTGCTTTGATCTAACATTTTACATGTATATGTTTTATAGAAAACTGTGCATTAGTTGAGCAGCACATTACACTGGAATTATTCTTTGAACGCTTCTAAACTTCTTGTTTCACTTACCAAGTTATATTCAGTCATTTACAAAATTCTCACGGATTACACATTTAGTTTCGTACAATTTTAACGTTCCCATATCGCAACGTCAATGTGTGTCACTGCTCTTCCATCAAAAATCTTTTGGGAAGAGAAGTCTGAACGAACGAAAAGAGGCCAACCCAAAAACCTAAAAATTTTTTTTTAACTTTTTTAAGTTCCTCACGCCAACAAAAGTCATCCGGTGTTGCCCAATGCTCATGTAACTTTAGAGGTGCTGCACAATTGTCCCGCAGCGAGAGGCCCGATTCACGATGACCACACGCCTGAACTACGTGGGCCCGGGGGGGGGGTAGCGGCTGATGTTGCTACTCCGGCTCCGCCGTTTACGCAACAACATCGAGGCGATGCAAATAAACAAACAAGCAGTGACACGCTGGCAACCGGCGGAGAAAGAGAATCCTCCCTTTTTTTTTTAAACAACCCAAACACGGCCAGAGAGACGCCAACGCGTCCCGCCTCGATCACGATCTCTTAACACAGAGGTGTGGAAACGTTTCCTTTTACCGAGGGCCAAATTGGACTTGAGAATATCCTTTCCATTACCACGTACACCTCAGTAACTTCCGCCACTCCAAGAGACCCTTGCGAGGTTGACGGAAGTGACCGAGGTGTGTTCTGACCAGGTAGAAAAAATTTCCCCAGCTGGTGCCCGAGACGAACGACAAAGTTGCTTGCGGCGATGGATAAACATCGTTTGGCAGGCCGTTTCGAAGCGGTTACCCCTCAATGTAGCAGCGGACCGTTTGAAATGAAGTTTTGGGCCATATTTGGCTCCTGGGGAGGGCGGGAGGCGTTTTCTACTGCAGATGGCCACCACGGCAGTTTCTTGTCTCATCGCAGTCAAGTGCCAGGCGCTGGGTCAGAGTCCTCTTGTTCAAAAAGGTGTGGATTTCCCAACGGGCCTCCACGTGCACACACGCGTACATGCTTATTGTTAGGCTGTCAGCGGTGTAAGCTGCAGTTTCGCCTATTTTACCCAAATTACTGCAATTTTTTCATTGAGCACCGCCGAGAGCACTTTGAGATACTTGCATTTCACAGCTTTACAAAATAACTATTATCCTTCATGGATAAACTTTACTAACATATTCAAACTCTTGATTACCACAGCAATGGAGGCGGCCGTTGGTGGCGGGGTAAGAGGTTAACCAAAACACAGCATAATGCCAAGGTTTATAAATTAGGCTATACAATGTACCGTAGTGTTTACCTACGCGGAGATTAAAGTAATGAAAGCAATCGCTTCACTTGCGATCACGCGGGCCACAGGTATGACTAGCCCCCGATGGACTGAGGAGCGCCTAATAATTTGTGATGTCGTCATTATTTTTCAAGTGCAGTTAATCCGCAAACCCCCAAAAATCCGCCCGCGGATAACGAAATCAACCGTAAGTGCATTTGGCATCTCAAAGGTTTCTCTTTCGCCTTCCTCCTCAGATCAATTTGCCGGCTGACTAGAATGACACGTTTCCTAATTTAACACGTAGTAGATTTTCATAGCCAATTTGATTATTTCGCAGTTGATTTTTGGCGTCGGGCCACATAAAAGATCTGACAAAATTGTTGGCTTGTATAGAAAATAAATGTGGTATAAATTCTCATTATTTTTACACCTATATTTAAATTGCATTGCAACGTATGTCATGCAATGTTTAAAACGACGGAAATATTTTTCGTTATTGATTTTTAGTTTATGCCAGACGACAGATGTGGTCAGATCGTTATGTCAGCAGTTTAACCCAAAATATATTTTGAAAAAAAAAATTAACTGTATAATTTTCCACCACCACTACTTTCGTGCGAGAATTTGAAGGCTGCCTTCAAATCTTATTATTAAAGATTTTTTTATTCATTACATTATTTTTCCAAGCAGCTTTCGGTCAAGAGAGCCAAAAAGACAATTCTTTTGTGATGCTGCTGCTGCTGCAGTGGTGCACAACCACAAATAACAAAGTCACACCCGTCATTCACGCCGCCTTCAAAAAGTCGACAGGCAAAACGCCGCACTATTACATCCTTTTCATTTTCAAGGCAGTGTTATTGACGGATGTGTAAAGTTATTTTAAATACAATAAATCAGGTCATTTTTAGGTCTCATTCGCATTCTAAAAAAAAGACCAAAATGTGTGAGTTCACAACTTGTGCGTCTGTATATAAAGCGTAGAATTATTCAAATTTCCAGAACAACCGTGCTAGCAAGAGCAAAAGTGTCAGTCCATGCACACGCAGGTTTAATTATTAGCTGCTCCTCACTCGTTAGGAGTTGGTGACTCTGTGTCCACGTGACCGCAAAACAAATTACCAAGTAAAGAAACACATAAAAAGGTTATATTTGTGTGTGTATGTATATATACATACACACATCCATGTGTGTATGTATATATATATATAGTATACACACACACGGGTTAGCAAGTGATATTTGAACCGATCCTGGGCCTCCCCTATCCTTTCCAACCCACATTGACCAGGGTGGTGAAGCATGGTCAAATGACCCCCATGACTTGACATTTAAATGGGGGGGGGGGGGCAGGAAGCCTTCACGCAACAGCAGATTGACAAAGGGCCGTGGTGCTTACTGCACATATGGTACAATGCGGCATGTTCATGTAAATTAATAAATAAATGCTGTGCTGTGGAGCTTCAACAAAATAAAAAATCAAATCGTTGAACGCGACTCCCAGTGGGCAGGTTTGCCCATTTATGTTCAACACAAAAGAAACGGCCTGCACCTACCTCGCAACATTTTTTTTTGCTAGTTTCAAGTCTCACACAACACAAATATAAAAAAGGGGGTTGGAAAAATACGGACATAACATCACAATGTATGTTGCGCCAGGAAAGTAAATATAGGGTGGGTCAAACAAGACTTTTCCGTATTTTTTTGTCTTATATATAGATATATAAAAACAAGTCATACGTGCGGAATTAGTTACATATATATGCTAGAATCTCAATGTCAATAATCTCAACTTTAAAGAGATATTCTGCAATTGTTTTAAATTGTTTAAACTATATCATTGCAACTCTACGTTTTAAATGCCATTTAGCAAGAACAAATGCCCACCTCAAATCGTCACTGCACAAAACAGAACAATTAATTCCATCGGTTTCACAAAGAAGTGGAGATCACCAAGCATTAATGACACGTGACATTTAAAAAGAACGAGTCAACAAAATAACCCAACAGTCAACAACAATAACCACTTCATCTTTACACGTCACCACCTCTTGGGGGGGGGGGGGGGGTGTAAAACCAAGGGTTGTTTTTTTTACATTAATGGTAAAACCACAGCAGTCTAACCGGGGTGCCAACCCCACTATGGCTTCACGACTTCGATTCTCAGCAGATATAAAACGCAGTTGAGCTATCAGGTGCATAACCGCGCGTGCTCGTGACAAATTAGGAACAATCAAAAACGTTATTTGGACAGAAGGCGATTAAATAAAACGCCTCTTCTACTCAAAAGCGACTTATAATTTCATCAACTGAGCAGCCCCAACTCAACACGGGCACCGCAACCGATAAACACGGGACCTTAAGCCCAAAATAAAGGCCCTTAACTCACCCCATTGTGTTCATAAGTGCAGTGTCCCACCCTTATTATGCACTCCGTGTCTCTGGCCTCCAGTTAAGTGATATGAAGGAGGACCAATGCCCGAAACGACACCGATCATTCCAATTTTTTTATCCCCCCCATTTGAGGGTCACAGTGCTGTTAACGAACTGAACGTGTTGGAGTTTTTTAGTTAGAGGCAAGGCCGGCTTAATGAGGGGGGTTTGTCTGGGGGAGAGAAGTTGTCCAGTTGGGCTAATTGAGAGGAGTGCAGGGTCAGGTAGGGTTAAGGCAGGAGGACTGGGAGAGAAGGGGGGTCAGGTTGGGTTGAGGAGGGGGGGGTCAGGGTCGGGTTGAGGAGTGAGGGGGGGTCAGGGTCGGGTTGAGGAGTGAGAAGCTGGGGGAGGAGGGGGGGGGTCAGGGTCGGGTTAAGGAGGGGGGCTGGGAGGGGGGGGGGTCAGGTCGGGTTGAGGCTGGGAGAGGAGAGGGGGGGGTCAGGTCGTGTTGAGGCTGGGAGAGGAGAGGGGGGGTCAGGTCGTGTTGAGGAGAGGGGGGGGTCAGGTCGTGTTGAGGCTGGGAGAGGAGAGGGGGGGGTCAGGTCGTGTTGAGGAGAGGGGGGGGGGGTCCGGGTCGGGTTAAGTAGGGGGGCTGGGAGAGAAGGGGGGGGGAGGGGTCAGGTCGGGTTGAAGCTGGGAGAGGAGAGGAGGGGGGGGTTGAGAAGAGAGGAGGGGGGGGTCAGGTCGGGTTGAGAAGCTTGGAGGGGCGGGGGGTGGGGACTGGGGGGCAGGGGGGTGGGGGCAGGGTGGGCAGCCAAAGCGACCAACAAAACCCCGCGGTGGCGGCCGCGACGCCCTTTTGTTCATTTATTTGCTTTCAAAAAAAAAAAGACACCTCGCTCACACGTGGCCACGCTCGCGCTACGTGTGACAATCAAAGCGCGGAGAAGGCGAGATGACGACATGGTCCCCGCCGTGTCTCTCTCGTGTGTTACTCACTTCACTGGACAACGATGAAGGTGGTGGCGGCGGTGGTAGCGGTGGTGGCCAGCGGCGGCGACATCTGCGGCCAAAACTCTTGGGTGATGATGGTGGTGGGGGGGGGAGACACGCGGCACGGACAACAACAACAACCAGTATGAGACAACAAGAACAACAACCACGAGGACACAGATTTGTTTTTGTTTGAAATCCACACAATGGGCCACACCCCTCGGAAATTAAAGACGCGCCGAGGTTGGCCGCTGACGGCTGAATCGAGAGCACGAAACGACACATCTCGGGGGGGGGGGGGGGGGAGCCCATTGTGACCCCTGAAAACGTCGGGGGGCCTCGGGAGAAAGCCCCCCCCCCCCAGTGGTGGCTGCTGCATCGACACATCGATACATCAGAAAATTCTAGCAATAGGACACGAGCCACAGTGGGGGGGAGGGGGGGGGAGACCAGCGCAGAGACTCAAAACATGGAACAGTCGGTCGGGCGAGCTTACGAGTAACACCCACCCCCTTTTCTTGTCGTCGTCGTCATCCGTCCGTCTTTGTATCACTCGCGGCTAATCGTAGCGAGAGATATTGCGCCGAAATCGGAACGGCAAAGCGGCCAGGGACGGACCGAAGCGACACCGCTGCCGCCGCCGCTGCTACTGCTGCTTCGGTGTGAATTACGCGTGTTTGTAAAAAAAAATCCACTCGTATTAACTTGGGGGGGGGGGGGTTTGGTACGAACAAAACATTACAAAAAGCTATAGCCGAATCCGTGTTTTTCTTTTCAAACAAGTTAATCCGATCTCTCTCTAAAAAAAAGAAACGCGCAAGCCACAGCACCATCATCATCGGCACTTCTTTACGTGCGCGCCGAGAATGTAATCGCTCACTCATTTCAAAACACCAACAACGGGGGACAATTAGCCCGACAGCGCTAAACAACATTTCCATCAACAAAACAAACTCGACACAAAAACGTCGCACGCCTCCGTTGCATTCGTGACTCTCTCCTCGTTTCCATTGCGACCCAACGAAACGTCCACCGATAAAGCAGCCAAACTAGCGCGCGATTGACGCAACGCATTTCACGCTTTAATCATTCGCAAAATGACACCACGTCTTTTAAAACGTCGGCCATACATACCCCCTCCCATTAAACCCACGATCTCAAACGGCGCAACGACGACGTCGTGTCTCTCATTCTCATCCGATGAGCGCGACCCGTTATTGTAGCCGATAGGCGCTGCGTCTCACGTTGCTACCACAGCCTCCTCCTCCCAAGAAGATCGTTCTCCCTCCTCCACCACCACCACCTCCTCCTCCTCCCAATGCCTGAGAGCCCCAAGTCACAAGTGACGCCGCCGTCACACAGAGAGAGAAGAAGAAGCCCCGAGCCTTGCCCAGAAACCCTACCGAGTCAACCCACCAACTCCCTCCACCCACCACCACCACCAAAACTCGCTGTGTCCGGAGCGGACAGAGAGAGAGAACCACCCCACACCACTACTCCTCCCCCCTCGCTCCAATGGCAGAAGGGACGACGGACGAAGCAGCAGAAAGGACCCCCCCCCCCCCAACACACACACAACCACCCAGCATCTCTACACTACACCCCCCCCTTCTCTCTCGCTCGCTCGCATCGGCCACAAAGCGACGCGGCCATTGGAGGCGGTGCACGTTTCATATTCACGAGGAGCAGAGGTGCCGTAATGACGCGAGTGGAGGCGCAGTGGGGGCGATCGGGAAAGGGTTGGTGGTGGTGGTTGTCGTGGTGGTTGGTGGTGGTGGTGATGGTTGTGACCGGCTGTGGTGGTTTGGAGTGGGGCATGTCCACTCTTTCCACCCTCCTCCCCTCCCCCGCTTCAGATCGCGACCACAACCAGGACCGACAACCGCGGGCTAGAGAACACGAACAACAAAACCTTTGAGATCGATAATAATAATCGCGATCGCAACTCGCCGCAAGCGAATGAATGGATCCCGCGCGTTAGCAGACACGGAACGCTCACCTGCCCCCCCGCCACGTGTGTGTCTATATAATCATGGCCACTTTCACACGTAAACGCGCTCGCAAACCGTGCGACTTACCCATCCACCCACCCAACCAAATCCTCACACTGATTGAGGCCAGACGCTGCTGTTTGCGAGCGCCTATTAAGGCCCTCCCCCCGAGTGTTTCCCCAGGACGTGCCCGAGGTGACAACGCAGCAGACATTCAACGTCGATGAAGTCGACACGAGGAGGAGAGGCCCAGGGCCATGTGTCCAATCTTACACCATTGTGTGTGTGCGGTCAATAGTTCGCGGATAGGAATCGAACCGAGGTCGCCGTTTGTCCGACGTTTCAGTTGGACACATGCCCCCCCCCCCCCGGATGTCCGAGATGAAAGTTGTGCATACGGCACATTCAGAAACCCTGCCGTGTAGACTGTATACTGACGGTACAGACTGTATCTGAACGCGTTTGGAGAATTCCGTATCCGAAACGCGCCGCTTGATCGGCCCAACAGACTAATAAACAAATACATGGAGACGAGTAAAAAGGTGACGTTTTCATCTTTACATCAAGTACTCGTTTTAGAAATGCTATTTATCAACTGCTGGGAATGAAGGCCTCACTACGCCGTGTCTATTATTTGGGGCCGGGGGGGGGGAGCAACGATGACCATACTTCACCACGCTGACCATCGCCGATGTGATCAGGGAATGCGACCCTGGACCGGTACAGGTGCCAGGCACTCGCAACCGATGTCAGCCGTGCGATCGGGAATCAAACTTACGTCGCAGCGCAGCGCGCTAACCACAGCGCCACCGCTCCCTACACCCCCGACTTTGTTATACAAAGACAAAGATCACCCTCGTAGCATTAACTGCTGGGGCAAGCGCTCTTAGCCAGCACCTACGAAGGCCGGAACGGCACACGATGGGGGTGGCGGTGACTAACCACCACGCCCGACCACCTTTGTCTCCCCAGTAGCCTGCAAATAGGTACCAATACGTGGCCAAGAAGCCGACCTATAGCGCTTACGCTCTCACCGTACGTACGAGCGAGCGAGCGCACACACACACACATTCTGGGAATGGGGGCAACCAAGGACAGGCGTGCTACGAAGTAGTGGAGGAGGGTGCTTGCACGCTCCCCCTTCCGCCAGAAAACGACACAATCCGCTTTCAGAAGCACCTGCCATACACGCACTCCGTGCCTTTGTCGCTGCAAGTTTTCCCAACCAGCCGGATGGACATTACAACAGCAACGAGTCAGTCCTGCACCCCCCGCAATGCATCTGCTACAAGTCACGCTTAATAATGGCAGTGGTGGTGTTAATATCGATCCTCTGTGGGAGGTTTGTGAAGGACGCTACTCGGCATTTGGAGGAAATCGCCCTCCGTTGACAACGTTCGAGAGCGGATGATCGACGCTCATAACAGCGAGCAGAGCACCGAACTGATACACAACTTAAACATGAGAAGCGCATTTCCCAGTAATCCCAGTCATGTGCAACTCATAACAAACCCCCAGAGGCTGTTACCCCGACCTCGTCAGGCAGCCTTTCGAAAAGACACTTCGCTTGACCCCCACACTGCACCTAGCCTGGCACACAAGCGCCTCGGTGATGTCATCGTCTTTTCACGGCGAATGACGGCTGTTACCGTAGGACACAAAACGTGTGCGGATAGGTATGCTACCGAATCTCAAGGCCTGAAAGCGCATTAACGAAACGCAGCTTACACATTTTTTTTAAATGGCCACGTCCCCGAAAATCGTAGCGCTTCGACTCTGCCCACTTCTTCTGGGTCACGGCCGATCCCAAGTGACACCAAACCAGCCATGGTTTTTGCAACAACAACAACAACAACGAGGAGGAACAACAACAGACCCTTACCAGCTAAGAACAACTGACCTCGCGTGCGTTAACACGACACGCGTGAACCACCTGAAATTCGTGAGTATCCACAACATAAAATAACCTAAAACTCACACATCCAGGGGCCGTTTGCACGACTCAACAACGCCCAATAAGACTCAAAGAGTCGAACTTTATAGACAAACAAACTACGTGTATCGTTGGCGAAACTGCCTCGTTCCTTCCATGAAAGAACATCAGACCGAACATTTGCCGAAGACCCCACCCCGTGCGTGTGTCCATCGCCAAGGTCATTTCCAACGTCAAGGTCAACATCAGTCATCATCAAAAAGCTATTTATATCGGGCAGCTAAAGGCGATCCCATCGTGACCATGGGATTCGCCAACTGGATCTGCCAATGATGGGTCCACCATCGCGCCCAACGCGTTTTGTACAATTCCTGCCCCATCGGTTTCCCATCACTTGCAGTGTTAGAACTGGTTCACCGTCATCGTCACCTCTACCAAACAAACAAGGTAAACTACACCATTGGAACCTCATTTGCCAGTTAAAAAATATGATAATTGGTTTTTTACCCTTCTATCTGGCAACAAAACTGACACCTTTTTTACAAGGAGTCATGTTTGCATACACCACAATACCTGCAGTCATACTGCAAACAAAAAACACAACTCTGATAAGAAAAAAAGGCGTCAGTTTTGTTGCCAGATAGAAGGGTAAAAAACCAATTATCAAGGTAAACTACAGTTACCGTAGCCTCCAATGCCACTTGGTTGTACGAGACTACAAAAAGGGGTTCCTCAACCTAACCCTGGCTTGCGGGCCCGTCCACTGCCCCAACAGTGGCAGCAGCCACAAACCAGACCCCCCCCCACGTTGCCACACAGACAGCTGAGTTCATCTCGGGCCACTCCACGCTGAATCCACATGAGCGTCAGACCTCTGGGTCTCCCATTAAAAAGAAGTCGGAGAACGAATTCTACTCGAGTATTCAAACGGTAAATCGCCCATCTCGTTGTTTTTGCTTCTTAATCGAGTAAGTGGGAGTCGCTTTTTTTGCCGAAGCTTTCGTGACTGCAGGAATCCATACTCTTTGGTTCTTTCGGTAAAGTCACGTAGGTAGAAGAAGAATAATCAATAGATCACGACGTTTCGATCGCCACACAAGCAACTTTCTTCATGTGGGAGACGGCTGCTTGTGTGGCGATCGAAACATCGTGATCTACGA